GAAGCACCCAAATCAAGCATGGCATTCTCAAATTTATTATTGCCAATAATACAAGGTATGCAAAATGTACACGGGTCCTTACATTTCTCGGGAATGTAAGGAAGCAGTTACCTATCAAAGCAGACACATTTACGCCCATGTCGGTTGTCTCATTGCCCTTCATCTTCCTCTTGTGGGTGCACATCTCCTTCAGGAATTTAGCATATGCGGGAATTTTCTTGATGACATCAAGTAGAGGTATGTTCACCTCAACTTTCACGAAGGTCTCTAGAATCTCTTTATCAACCTCTTTCATCTTTTTGCTTGGAATTGCTTTGGGAGGGAATGGAAGAGGGATAAAAGGCTGTTGCAGATCAGAACTGGGGCTGGAAGAAGGTCCATCTATATGCAATTTTTGGCTACCAACTGGTTGCTCAGGCGCAGGAACTGAGGCAGCTACAGATGAGGGTGGAGGTACTGTAGTGGTTATGTCAATCTGTTTTTCTGACCTCAATGTGATGACACTCACATTCTTAGGATTAACCACGATCGCGTGCGAGGGAGCTTGTCCGAATTTTGATTTTGCAATTGATTCACGACGGTAGCTAGTTGACCAATCCGGTTGGTTAAACTACGAATGAAGGCATCATTTTTACGTTGGTGCTTGTATGTTCATCTCAACCATTTGTTTGACCAATTCCTCTAATAAAGGTGAAGAAGGTTGAGGAGCTGGTGCTTCATTTTGCTGCCTCGATATTGTTGTTGCATTGGTGGAGGCACATAAGGTCTGCTTGGACCAGCAAAATTACGAAATGGTGGTGGTGGCAAAGGATTCTGCTGCTTGTTGGTGTTGCTGATTGGACCATCTCGGATTTGGGTGATTCCTCCACCCGGATTGTATCTATTGCTTGAGAGGTCAGAATTATGTTGTTGGTTCGGAGCCCTATTATTGAAAATGTTTGCTACATAAGCTTGTGGAGCTCCAGAACACTGTAGACTCATGCAATAATTGGCAGCGATCGAGTGGGATGCTCAATTGAAGTACAAATGTCACAAACCCTTGCAGGTGGTGCAAGTTTCGATTTGCGGCAAGTTGGGAGACTAGGGTGGTGAGGGCATCAATCTTACTTTCTAGCTTCTTCTCCACTAAATGCGATGAACCCACATCATGTACACCTCTAAGGACTATGACATCACTCCTCATGTTAAATTGCTTGGAATTGGATGCCATCTTCTCAATTAAATCTCTAGCAACAGCAGGTGTCATGTCTCCTAAAGCTCCTCCACTAGCTGAATCTATCATACTCCTATCCATTGTGTTCATCCCCTCATAAAAGTACTTGCAACAGTAGGCGTTACGATATTTGGTGGTGAGGGCAACTTGCACTGAAGTCTCTTGAACCTTTCCCAGATACTCGTATAAGCTCTCTCTCATCTGTGGCGATACATGATATATCCTTCCCGATGACGGTGGTCTGGAAGCAGGGAAAAATTTATCTAGAAAGACTCTCTTGAGATCATCCTAGCTCGTTATGGAACTAGGAGCTAAGTAGTACAACCAATCTTTGGCAAGATCCTCCAAAGAGAAAGGAAAAGCCTTCAGGTATATGTGATCTTCAGGAACATTTTGTGGCTTCATGGTGGAGCAGACTATATGGAACTCCTTGAGATGCTTATGTGGATCCTCACCTGCACGACCATGAAACTTGGGCAGCAAATGGATTAGTCTAATTTTAAGCACAAATGGTACATCCTCTTCAGGGTATTGGATACATAAATTTGCATAAGTGAAATCAGGTGCAACCATCTCCCTGAGAGTCCTCTCACGAGGTCCAATAGGTTGATCACCCGTGTTATTAGTTTGGAAATTATCAGAAGAAGGTATATTAGGTGTAATACTCTCATTATGACTATCTAATGGTTCAGACTCAAGAGATGAATTCCTAGAATGTCTAACTAATCTATGAAAGGTTCTGTCTATCTCGGGATAGAAAGGTTGTAAAAGGTCAGGATTACTCCTAGTCATGCACTATATTCAACAATTCATGTATTTCCCAAGAGTTAAAAAAAAATTCCTAAAAAAAATCAGTTGTTTACTGGAATGACAACGGTAGACCGTGAACAAGTACACCAGGTAGGTTCCCAGGAAAGAGAGGTGGGTCAGCTAATAGACACACTTAAGTACCAAGTCTTTCCTAGCGAGAACTCTCCTAGACATGCACTCTCACACTACCAAGATATATCAAGAGTTTCCTATGAGAATGGAAATTATAATTTTTTTTAAATAAAGCTAGAAAAACAAATTAGAGATGAAATTGTTTTTTTTTTGGATTATTATTTATATATTTTTTTTATTATTATATATATATATATATATATATATATATATATATATTTAACCCAAAAGAGTTTTAGAACAACAATGAGCTATCAAAATAGTATTAAGAGAAGTAAGAATGTTCAATTAAATATTAAATAAAATATCCAAATAACAGCAAATCAAATAAAATATTAAAAACTAACAATCAAATAAAATATTTAAATAACTGAAAACCAAATAAAATATCCAAATAACAGACAAATCAAATAAAATATTAAAAACTAGCAATCAAATAAAATATTCAAATAACTGAAAATCAAATAAAATATTTAAATAACTGAAAATCAAATAAAATATTCAAATAAAAAAAACAAAAAAAAAACGAAAACATAAACAAAAAATAAAAATTGAAAACCTAGACAAAAATCTTGGTCCCCGACAACGGCGTCAAATTTGATCGATGTCGTACTCGATCAAATAATTAAAACAGATAAATGTAGTACTAGGAAGCTTTCCTAGGTTGTCTCCCAAAGACCACAAATTTCTATCAAAGCTTATCAATTTTTAAATTTAGAACAGTAACAAAAAAGTGAGTTTTTCAAAATCAAAATTAAAATATTAGATGAAACAAAACAAAAGCAGATTATAAAAATGCGGATTAAAAACAGATTAAAATGCAATTGATTTTCTGATTCTAATGCAGTGTCACTTATCCTAGACTACGAAATTAATTCGAAATTAACCAACTAAGCGAAGATAAATCCCAAATTATATTCTAATCCAAAATTAATCAACTAAGCGAAGATTAATCTCAAATTAGTTTTAACCCTTGTTCCAATATGAAATTAACCAACTAAGCGAAGATTAATCCCAAATTTTCCTTAACCCTTATTCCAACATGAAATTAACCAATTAAGCGAAGATTAACCCCAAATTATCCTTATACAATTAAACATTGCATACATCACATAATCTCATATCTAATACATAATTAAGCAAACTGTGATATTAGTTTTGGTTTATTAAGCATAAACAGATTATAATTCAACACTGAGATTAGAAGATGAAGAGTTAAGAGAACAAACAAAATGAAATTGAAGAACAAAACCTCAAAGCTCTACTGCATTCTCCTCGGAAAATCAATATAAAGATTTAGCTATCCATGGAAAATCGAAAACGCAAAAGAAGAGACATATGTAGGGCAGATTTCGTAGTGAATTTCGACTTCAATTTTGGCCACCTTATGATTGGAATTTAACAATGCTCATGATAGAGACAATTGTAGCCTTTCCTCTTAGCTTTACAACGCACTTTGAATCGCCGAATTTGGAGTTTCGTAGCTCCAGATATGTCCTTCTCACTGGGCAAAGGTCGGTTGTGCGATGCGGCTTTGCGTTTTTCCTTGGTGTGTTTGATGTCTGGCTGCCTCTCCTTTATATAGATAACCCTAACCCTAATCTTAATCTAGGTTTGGGTTCAACTAGCCCACAAAACACATAAAAAATTTTAAACAAGAAAACTGATTCTAATGGACAGTTGACATGACATCTGACCAAATCTTCCAAGCCCAAAATTGCTCTAAATTGTCCTGAAAATAATAATGAGCAAAAATTAGATCAAATAGATGCAAATTAATTAAAATTTGAATTATTGGCCCAATGAAGCCCAGTTAATAAAAATGCACTAATAATAGACAATTAAACACAATGCACCAATTAAGATAAATACATAAAGATAAGAAAATGCGGGAAAATAATGACTCATCAAGTATATTTAAAAGTTTTTAACTTCGAAGGGTTCGGAAATTATTTTCAAATTTTAAAAAAATAAATATAAATTTGTTTATCAAAATAAAAAGATGGAAGATTTGGAGGACTAATTAGTAAAAGGTTTAGATTCACAGTTTTGACAAACAAAAGGCACTAAAGTTAGATAATATCAACATAAGTTAATACATCATCTAATTATTTATTAAAATTTATATATATTAATAAATATTATTATTTTAATTTTTATTATTAAAATTAATGAAAATATAGCATAATTAATTTTTTAAAATATTATTTTTTATATCTATTTTATTTCTTTTCTCGTATTTTTATTATTTTTAAAAATATAAATTATAATAATAATTTTGTTAAAATTATAACACTTTTTCATTTTTCATGAATAATTAAAAATGTGTTTCTTTATATAATTATAGATAATATTAATAATATAAACAATAATTAAAATAAAAATAATAAAAAATCATATTAAATCGCTTTTTCATTTTCATGAATAATTAAAAATGTGTTTCTTTATATAATTATAGATCATATTAATAATATAAACAATAATTAAAATAAAAATAATAAAAAATCATATTAAATTGCGCTTTCTTTTATAAGACTTAAAAAAAAAAGTGAAATCGCTCTATTTCTTTGTACTGTATCTTGGTATTGAAATCGTATGGGTAAATTACCTAAATATTGAATTCTTTTAAAATTATGGATAGTTTTTAAAATAAAACTCACCGGAACTGTCCTTTTCCTCATAATCTGTGTATAATTTGAATTTGAACTTAAGAAACGTGATGAAATAGCTGGGCGTAAATAAGAATACGAATTATCAGTTTGCTGTAATGGTTATTTTTATTACATAATTTTGAAACGGAACAGCACAATAGTTTCGAAGATTGTTGTAAACGAGAGAGAACAGGTCATACGGCATGTGGAGGAGGTGGAATTTCGTACAGTGGAGGACCGTGATAAGGTCCCGAATAAAAAGATCCATACGATGACCTCAAACGACGTGGATGTGGGGGTGGTGGCGGTGAACGCTCGTAGAGTGGAGGGCCATGATAGGGACCAGATGAACTTAAAGCATGATGAGGTGGTGGCGGGGAAGTCTCATATCTTGGAGGTCCACGATAGGGTCCAGATGAGCTTATAGCATAATGAGGTGGCGGTGGCGAAGTCTCGTATCTTGGAGGTCCACGATAGGGTCCGGAAGAAAAAGATCCAAACGATCCACCACGAGGAGGAGGTGGATGCTGCCACCTGTCGGAGATGGTGTTGTCTGCAGCAATGGCAGAAGCTAAAGCAATGACACAGAGAAGTGCCACTTTCAAAGCTCTCTCACAAATATTTGTCTTCGCCATCTTTCTTCATGCTTTAGATTCATCCATCAAGGTCCTTAAATAACCTCGTAATTTATTCAATGCAAATCTTCACCATTAATTGTCATTAAATTATACATTAAATGCCTCCACCGCTTGGACTAGTCCCGACATTTGTAAACTGTTGAATTATTGGTAAAAATAATATATTTTAAAAGAAAAATTATTTAAATAAAATTTCTTTCAATTTATTTATTTAAATAAATATGGTTAATTTTTTCTTTTATATATATATATATTATATTTTTTTCCTCTTTTTCTCATTTCCTCTTTATTCTCTTTTTTTTTCTATTTCACTATCTTGTTTTCTCTCTCATCTTTTTAATTTTAAAAAATATTTACTAAAAATTACCTTAAAATAAATATTAATTTTTTTAATAATTATAACACAATAATAATATTTTTAATATCTCAACTTTATCATATAATATTTTTCAAATATAATATATTAAATTATAATATTTTTAATTATTTCAATATATCTTATTTTTTCAGAAATAATAAAAAATTTATCTTATCAAATTTTGATTAATATTTTTAATTGAAGAATAAGAAAGAGGAGAGAAAAAAAAGAAAAAGAAAATACTAAATGAAGAAAGAGAAAATATAATTACAATAAATAAATGAAGAGAAAAAAATATTAAGAAAATAAATGAGAAAAAAAAAGAAAAATAACTGTAAGACAACTTTATTTTTTCTTAATAAATTTTGTACTGAACAATTAATAGATATAGTTGAATAAATAAAATTAAAAATATTTTATTTAAGTAATTTTTTTAAATATAATATTTCTTAGATTGATAACTCTAAGTATAAAAAAATTATAATAAAACAAAAAAAGACCTAAAATATTCAAAATAATACTACATGATATTATGTAATATTATTTTAGATTATTTAGACTATCAAACCATATTTTTAATAATATATATATAGATATATTCTTTAATCATACATAAATAATAACAATTTTTAGAAAAGAAAATAAAAAGAAGAAGAAAGAAAAATAAAAGTGTGAAAACTATTCTTTTTTTTTAATATGCAAGTGACATAAAAATAATTTTTTTATTAAATAATTAAATTAAAATTAAATATTTATTTAATTTTAAAATTATTCATAAAATTTTTAATTAATAAAATACATATTTGTAATTAATATCTTATTTTTAATAATATATAATTTGATATATAATTATAAAATATTAATATCATATTACAAATATATTAAATTTATTCATTTAGTTTTTATAATAACTTACATATTTATGTTATTTTATTAAAATAGTAATTAAATATCAATAAATAAAATTATATACATACAAATAAATAATATTTATTTAAGTGAGAATAATATTATAAAATATATGTAATTATGAATAGGTAAAATTATAAGACAGAGAAAATGAGTAGGTTGATTAACAAACTAATAATTATTAAAAAGAAAGAAATTAAATATATAAACTAATATAATAAAGAATAATTAATACTTGTATCCTAATCACATATTAGTGTGACCGTTTTTATAAAGTACTATAATTTATCCCTCATAAATATTTTCACCAAAGCATTGAATAATATTTATATTTCTGCCAGTTTTGTTTAATTTAATATTTAATTAACTGTATCAATAAAAACAAATTCATTCATATAAATGTCATCTAATATAATGCTACATTCATTTTTTTATTCTGAAATATAACCGAAAAAATATTTTTTTATAAAAATATGTAATTAAGGTAATTATATATACTTTGGTTTGGAATTAAAAATAAAAAAATAATATAATTAAATCACAAATCAACAATATTTATCGATTGAATGAGATAATATATGTGAATCAGAAATATTTGTTAAGAAAATTAGGAAATTATTTATAATCTATTTTAATATTGATTATAAATGTATTTAAGGATTTTTCATCTGTAATACCGTTTATGTAATTCTATTCATATATATATATATATATATATATATATATATATATATATATATATATATATATATATATGAATCAAGTGTATCATAAATTGACAAATAGAAATTGTTTTGAAAAGAAATCTTCAACTTAAAGAATAAAAAATAAATATACATAAGAAATTGAACGAACATGTGAAAATACAAATACATTTTAACTATTCCAATTTTATTTGAACTTATTGTTTTAAAAATACTTTCTATGTTTAAATTTAAGTACAATTTTTAATCACTATAATTTAAAATAATATTAAAAAATAAATAAATTTTTACCAATGTATTCTTTATATTTATATTTAAGTTTAAAAGTAACAATGTAGTTTATTGTATCAAAGCTGTGCTCAAACGTTGTATGATTTGAAATAATCGATTGTGCAATTTTATTATCATTACCATGACCGGATTAAAGCCTTAATTGTGAATTTATTAAGTACAATAAAGCCTTAACTAAAGCGTGTGTTGCGGAATTTATGAATTGTATGTATAAAGAAATTTAAATTGTGTGTATAAAGACGTTTTGTGAACATCATTAAATAACGAATTTTTTAGTCGTTTTCAATTACAATTTTATGACAAGTCATTTTTTTCCTACAAAATGTACTTGAGAAAAATTCTTCAACATATGATTTTTTCTTCTTCTGTATATTAAGTCAGAAAAAAAATAAGAAACAAGATACGTAATTATTATTATTCCACTGGTAAGATGAAACAGAAAGAGTTGAATTGTTATATTTTATTTGAGTATATCTATTTTAGAAAGCACAGGACTACTTTCTTAATAAAAATATTGGACAATGTATTTAAATATGTTAGGATTATTATTTATTAAGTCAAATAATAAAATGATATGATTAAATTAAAAATTTTAACTAAAAACATATGTCATAAAAATAAAATTTTGTAGAGATCATAAAATAATTTTTAATTTGATAAGGGGTTAAATTAGAAATATTAAACCTTAAGTAATTAACCTATAATTCAGTTATTTAAAGGGTCATGATCACCTTCTAAGAGCGCACATAGAATGTAAGTTTCGATCCGTTTCTTTTTTCTTTTTCCATCAAGAGAAAAATTTCAGAGGAAAATACATATGTTTTTTAGGTGGAAGACCACAAGATCAATAATGTTCTACGAGCATTATGGTTAATTCGAGTTTTCGTATTCAGTTTACAACATGTTTATAAGTATGTGATAATGTTTATGTTTGATTGTTAGAATCAAAATAAGAATCATAATTAGTATTAGTTTTTCAACAAATGATATCAAAACAATCCATACTTATTTCAGGTTTTAAAAATTAACTTTTAAAATTTCAAATTTTGTTTAATTTATAGAACCCTATAAGGATTAATTCTATTTTGAACCATGCGAGTAAAATCCTAAATCAGATTTTATCTCTCCCTGAATGACGTTTTGAATCCTAGTGATAATAAAACCCGAAGAATGGAAAATCCCTAATCTTGTTTTCATATTATTCAGTCCTCAAATTGAGAATTAAAACCGAATTGTGCTCGCACTGTTGCACACACTTCCCTTTCCTCACCAAACGGCATCGTTTCCCCTATTGCCCTTTTAGCATCATTTTGCTTAATGTCATCACTTTTATTTACGCTTATGGCCATGTGCAGACTGGGGAATGGTATCAACTATAAGCATAAAGTGTTTTAGTGCATTTATTTACTTGTCATGTTACTTTATATGTAACAAACAATGGAACGGGAAGCCTTATTCGCAATGGTACCACACATTTTAGAGCCTCAAGGGGATAAGAAAGATTTCAGTATTTTTCTATTAAAATAATAAATAAAGAGTATATTTCAGTGCTACCATGTTTAGGGCCTCAATTAGACTCTTATAAATTTTCCTTCTTTATAATTATAAATATTTGGTTTTCCTATATAATTAGTATATATTTAGTTTTTGATAGTTTAATATTTTTTAAAACAAATTGAATCGAGGAGTCACTAAAGTAATCTCTCTTGAATTAGGTAGTTTGTGAAAAATATTGAATATTAGTGTATATTCATGCGAGTATTAGTCGGTGCAAAGGAAAATTAATATTTGGTCGGATTGCATATACACTTGTAATGATAAACATGTGATAATTATAAGAATTTGTTTTGTCGATAATAAATCAATCTAGAGGTTGGTTTGTTGTTGGACGTGTTTTATTGTCAATGTTTGATCATTACAACAAGATATCCCTAACCATTAATATTACTGTCCAAAGACTTGATATTGATGGTGCATTGAATGTCTTTAGATGAGTTAAATCATTATTTGAATATATATTTATTATTTATTTTATAATGTGAGTATAATTAGCTTGTTTCTTTTGTTTTTTAATTCAGCTTTAATTACTTATGTATTTGCCAATTTAAATTTTGTTCCGATCCTCAAAAGTATGTTTCCTACTTTAGTCTGTTCTGAAGTCAATGTAGCGTCAGTACCTAGTAACACTTGGTGGTTAGACTCAGGTGCAACTACTAACATCAGTGTTTCTATGAAGGGTTGCCTAAGCTACCAGAAACCAATTGATTATAAAAGATGGATATATGTTGGAAATGACAAATCGATAGAGGTGAAAGCTATAAGACATTTTAAATTATTATTGAGTACTAATTTTTATTTGGATTTGAAAGACACTTTTGTTGTGCCGTCATTTAGACGAAATTTAATTTCAGTTTCTTATTTGGATAAATCAGGTTATTCTTGTTCATTTGAAAATAATGAATTCATTTTGTCTTTTAATTCAAATATTGTTGGAATTGATTCACTTTTGGCTTATGATAATATGTATTTATTTGATACTGTGACCACCTATAATGAAACCCTTAATACAGAATCACAGGTACTAAATGTAAAATTGACGATACTCACTCATGAACATTATGGCACAGGCGCTTAGGTCACATATTTAAAAATAGAGTTGAACGATTGTGTCAAATGGAATCTTAGAGTCCATTGACTTCACAAACTTTGATGTTTGTGTTGAATGCATTAAGGGCAAACAGACCAGAGTGAAGATATTAGGTGTATATAGAGCTACAGACGTCTTGAAGTTGATACATACAGACATTTGTGGGTCATTTTCTACACCTTCGTGGAATGGTGTCATAGACGATTACTCACGATATGCATACTTATTCTTTATACATGAAAAGTCACAATCTATAGACGTGTTCAAAACATTTAAAGCTGAAGTTGAAAATCAACTCAACAAAAGAATTATGTCTGTCAGGTCTGACCGTGGTGGTGAGTACTATGGCAGATTTGACGGGTCAGGTGAACAATGTCCAGGACCTTTTTCCAGGTACCTAGAGAAGTGTGGAATTGTCCCACAGTATACCATGCCGGGATCACCTAGTATGAATGGTGTAACTGAAAGACGAAATCAGACTCTTAAAGATATAGTCAGGAGTATGATTTGTCATTCCACCTTATCGAAGTCAATATGGGGAGAAGCACTAAAGACGACAACTTATATTCTAAATAGAATATCAATTAAAGCAACTACTAAAACACCTTATGAGCTTTAGACTGGACGACAGCCTAGTCTGAAGCATTTCCATGTGTGGGGTTGTCCAGCTGAGACAAGACCTTATAAGCCAAAAGAAAAGAAATTAGACTCCCGAACAGTGAGTAGTTATTTTATTAGTTATGCTGAAAGATCCAGGGGATATAAATTTTATGATCTCACATTAAAGACAATTTTTGAGATGAGAACTGCTACGTTCTTGAGGATATTGAGTTTGGGGGGAAGAATAAAATTAGAAATTTTGTCTTGAAGGAAGAATCGGTAACAATTCCATAACCGATTCAAACAGTTACTTTTGATAAAGTAAGTTTGGAACCTCCACAAGGCATTGTTGATGAACCCCTTACTCAAGATGATTTGGTTATTCATGAAGAACAAACTCAAGATTCTCAAGAACTTGTGCATCATGAGCCAATAATTTTGCAGAGATCCACTAGAGAAAGAACAAGTACTATTTCGGATGATTACATGATATTTCTTTAGGGACATGAGGAAAACAATGATATGATAAAAGATGACCCAATTAACTTCCATCAAGCTATGCAAGGTTCTAACTCTGAAAAGTGGATTGAAGCAATGAAGGAGGAGTATAAATCCATGCAAGACAACAAAGTTTGGGAACTTGTCCCATTACCAGAAGGTATGCAACTCATTGATTGCAAGTGGATATTTAAGACCAAATGAGATTCTAAAGGTAATGTGGAAAGGTATAAGACTCGTCTAGTAGCTAAGGGTTATACCCAAAAGGAAGGGATTGCCTTTAAAAAGATTTTCTCTCCAGTTTCATCAAAAGACTCTTTTAGGACAATCATGACTCTTGTAACACATTATGATTTAGAGCTTCATTAAATGGATGTCAAGACGGTGTTTCTCAATGGCAACATTGATGAGACAATTTATATGGTACAATCAAAAAATTTTGTGCAGGGAGATCCAAAGAATATGATTTGCAAATTGACAAAATCCATTTATGGACTAAAACAAGCATTTCGTCAATGGTACTACAAATTTCATCAAGTAATTCCCTCATTTGACTTCGAGATGAATATTACTAATGATTGTGTACATCACAAGTTTAAGGGGAGCAAGTATATTTTCTTGATATTGTATGTTGATGACATTCTACTTGTCACTAATGATATAGACATATTGTACGAAACCAAGAAATTTTTATCAAAAATTTTTGAAATGAAAGATCTTGGTGATGCCTCTTTTGTATTAGGAATTCAGATACACTGAGATCGATCTTGGGGTATTTTAGGGTTATCACAAAGAAGCTATATCGATTTTTTTTTTTAAAGATTTGACATGCATGAATGTAAATCTAGGGATACTCTAGTTGCTAAGGGAGACAAGTTTAGTTTCAATCAGTGCTTAAAGAGGATTTTGAAAATTGAGGAAATGCAGAAGATTTTCTATGCATCAGCTGTAGGGAGTTTGATGTATGTCCAAGTATGTACACGTCCAGACATAGCATATATAATTGGGGGTTCTAGGCAGATATTTAAGCAATCCAAGAATGGACAATTGGAAAACAGCAAAAAGGGTCATGAGATATTTAAAGAGAACAAAAGATTATATGCTCACATACAGGAGGTCATACCAATTGAAGATTGCTGGGTTTTCTGACTCGGACTTTGCATAATGTTAAGATAGGTTGAAATCTACTTCAGGTTACATTTTCATATCGACAGATGATGCGATTTCTTGGCGCAGTATCAAGCAAACCCTTACAACCTCATCCACTATGGCAGCAAAATTTGTAGCATGCTATGAGGCATCAAATCATGGAATATGGCTGAGAAATTTTGTCACAGGGCTGCAAATTGTGAAAGACCACTTAAGTTATATTGTAACAACAAATCAACTGTATTGTATTCCAACAACAATAGGAGCTCGATTAAGTCAAAACACATCGACATTAAGTTCCTAGCTGTTAAGGAAAGAATATAGAGTGGACAGATATCCATAAAATACTCAGGGGCAAACTTCATAATAACAGATCCTCTAACTAAAGGACTTCCACCCAAGGTCTTTCATGAGCATGTTGCTCACATTGGTGTTTTACAGTTTGAGGAATTTGTGGTTTAGTGGGAGTTAGTCATTTTCATATATTTTATGTTCTATGTTTAATTTCATGTATGTATATATTGTTTTTTTTTTTGACATATTTGGTTATTTATAGATATGCGATTTTTCGTTCATTCATTACACTTTGTATATTAAGGTTATTATATCGATTTTGATACGTTAAAGTTTGGACCAGTTGAAAATAAACGTGTACAAATCACCTTCACGTAATTTTTCATGTTACACATTTCATGATGAATCAATGTCATTTGGTTATGTCAGGATTAATAATCATTGTTGGTTTTAGTTGTGATGATGCAATAAAAAGTTGGTTTGGTTCTATATCCTGATGTGATCAATGGATGAGACTTTTGGAGTATGCTAAAATAATATAATGACAATTTTGAGCTCATAAAGTCTAATACATTTGTAAGGTTGTAAGAACATATATATTTGTGACCAGTGGGAGATTGTTAGCAAATATTGGGTCATGTATATATATGATACATAATTTAAATGTGTTAGGACCATTATTTATTAAATCAAATAATAAAATGATCTGACTAAATTAAAAATTTTGGCTAAAGGCATATGTCATGAAAATAAAATTGTATAAAGGTCATAGAGTAAGTTCTAATTTGATGAGGGACCAAATTAGAAATATTAAAACTTAAGTAATTAACCTAATTCGGGTTATTTAAAGAGTCATGGTCCCCTTCTAAGAAGTACACACAAAAAGTAAGTCTTAGTTCTGTTCTTTTCTTTCTATTCCCATAAAATAAAAATACACGTGTTTTTCAAGTAAAAAACTATAAAATTAATAATATTATAACTAATTTAAGTACATTTTCCCATTTAATTTATAACAAATTTATGAATATAAAATAATATTTATATTTAATTTTTAGAATTAAAATAAGAATCATAATTATTAATTTTTGATCGTGCACGACGAACTAAAGCAAAAACAAGCTCTACACATGCATGCAGTGCGCCTACAACATGGAGGTTACGCCTCTCTACGGTAATCCACGCATTCGCTGGCAACCTTGCAGCGTGGTCTGGGAGGCACGTCGTCGGATAACACTAATGGAATATCTACAAAACGGTGTCGTTTCCATTGCTCACAAAATTAGTGTTTGTTATAGATATACTTAGAACAACCTACACACATATGATGATGATGAGATCCAGATCTTACCCTGATGTGCACTTGCATTAGCAGCAAGAAGCACCAACAATAAAGCTACCATTACAGAGCTCTTCTCCATAGAAACTTTTCTTCAAATGTTTGTGTCTGGCGTTGAGTTTCTCTGTCATGTTCTTGACCTCATGTTCCCACGATTTATATTAGACAAGTTCCTCTATGTTTCCTTTTCTCTCTTTAATTCTCTCATTTATTATCGATGCGTTAAAGTAATGATTAGTCTTTAACACCCACCGGTTTTTCTGAAGTAGAGAAGTTATATTAAAAAAAATAATCATAAATTCTTCCCTATATTTACCCTCCTCAAAGAGAAATTTCAAATTAATATTTTCTACTCGTTTATGAAAAATGTCTTCTTCTACTTATAAATATATAGATAATTATTTATTATAAATTATTAAATTTTTATTTATTTAGTTTTTCATTATTTTTTTAAATCAATTCACGTAACTATTTCTTCAAATGGTCAAATACGTCTTTCACTTTATTTTATAATTTTTATTATTATTTTCGTCATACCTTTTTATTGAATTAAATACATTGTCAGTTTTTGTTTTTTTTTTCAATTGATTTCAGTTCATATATTTCAAAATTTAATTAATAAATTATTTCTTAAATATTAAAAAATAATAATCAACTTTATAATAGTAAAAAAATATTTAGAAATATTAAATTTAAGGATATAGAATGATAAAAAAAACCATACTTTTAGTCTTTTCTTAATTTTTTAGATGAAATATTAAATTTATGCATAAAAAATTAAATCACATATTTTAAAAAAATTAAAAGACTGAAATAATTAATTTAAAAATATAAATATAAAATACAATTTTATATGAAAAACAACAATGACAACATGTTTTTTTATTTTATTTTTATAACAGAATAGAGTCTGACAGATAAAATAAACATAAAGAAATAATCACATTAAATACAATCGGTTAAATTTAAAACTTACAAAATTAATAAAAATAATAATTTTTTAAAGTATTTTAAGTATGAGTTCTTTGAATATGAATGTTCCTATAGTAATTTATATGAATTATTTTTTATTTTAAAAATATAAAATATAAAATTATATATGGTGCAATATCATTAAAATTTCACAATTGATTTTATTTTAATGATTTTTTTAATAAATTTTAAATAATTAAATAATTATTTTATTTTATTTGATAAAACAACTATAAAAATAATTAAATAACTTACCATGTTATATGATATTTTAATAGAAAAATGTTTTAAATAAATAATATTTTACTTTAATATATAATAAGTATTTTTATAGAATATGTTTTAATTATATATATATATATATATATATATATATATATATATATATATAAGATTTGTGTAAATTTGATATATTTTTCACGAACTTTAAATATACAAATGGACAAATTGTTTTTTTTTCTTTTAAGGAACAAATAAAATTCAGTTTCTGAAAAATAATTATTAAAAATATGATTTAACAAAACTTGCACTTGTAAATAGCGTACATGTAGAAAATGGGTTAAAAAATAAATACGTTTATATAATGATTTATGAAAGTTGATTGTATCTCATTAATAACGTAAACAAAATTAATATCGAAATGTCTTTTATAAGGTGTATACTTTTCAATAAAAATTACTGTTTCTTTTTAAGCATCATTTTGAAAGTTTAAACCAAAATATTACCAGTATTATTGAAACATGATAGTAGAAGAAGCATATGGCAGAAAGAGGATGATGAACATAAAAGTTATTAGTATTATTATTTTATAAATTATTCTGCATCATGTTTTGTTTAACAGATTTCCATCATAACCCAAAACACTCTAAAAAGCAAGAGATTGACTAGAAGGGTTTGCTGGGTCGTAAATGCATTTCTTTAGAATCGCAATTGCAAAGGCAATATCCACCAAGACACAGTGTAGGGCAATGTGGCCGATAACTACAATATTTATAACAATCTTTGTCCGTTTTGCATTGATCCCCGTTCACAGCAGAAGCTTGTTGAGTAAAACCTGAAAAGTAAAATAATCATCAATTAATTGATATGCTCCAAAAATAAATCAAACATTCCATCATTCAAAGTAATACATATTTAGTCCACAAAATATAATATTTTCACTTTATTAAACATCCGCATATATAATTGATTTTTACATTTCTAAAATAAGTTATGCATTTCTAACCAGATGCACAGATTTTGACCATTGATATTGAGAGTCAAATAATATATTATTAATAAATAATAAATAAATATAAAAAAAAAGAAAAAAGATAAAAAGATGAAAAAATAAAATTATAAATATATACTTAAATATATTAAATGATTATTAAGTTTGAGATGACAAAATCATAAATTATATAAAAATTATAAAGAAGAAACTGAGATGATAAAATTATAAATATACAAGTAAAAAAATTAAATGTTCATTAAATTTAGGGAACCAAAATCATAAATTATATAAGAATTATAAAATTTTGAGGTATCACAGCTCCTCATCTCCTTCCAAAAAGATATGCCACTCTTTCTAACTAAAATGCACACCAAAGAAGGGTGGGGAAATACCAGATCCAACAAGAATTAGGAAAATAAAGAGTGCCAATTGATGAAGTGAAGATTTTACCATTCTTTCTTGCGGATTTTGCTGCAAGGAATATGTTCTGTGATAGGAACTTTTATCTTTGACTGATACACAAATACCTTCACATGCAACATATTTATAGTGCGCTTATTAAATGATGATTGAATATCTGAATTGATTGAATAAATACATCAGTTTCAGTTTTTTTTCTTTCCCTTTGAGTTGGGAAACTAAATGTGTTCGAAATTGTGTTCAGTTAAATTATGGGGTCATTAAGTATTTGGGTTGAAACATTTATTATTTGGTTATATTTAGTTGCATACCCATTAAAAATAAATTCGTGTGATAAAATATTAATCAGCTTTTAATATGAGATTTTGTAAATATGATTTATTTATGTGAACTTTAAATATATAAATAGTCATTTTTTTAAAATTGATAATTACTTATTGCAAAAAGTTATCAAAATATTATTTTACAATATTTCGAACTTAGTAGTGCAAAATCACGTATGCGCGTAATGGTTTCTAAAATAGATATATTTACTGATAATGTTCATGTATCTCAAATAAAATTTAAATTTTTTAATATTATTTTCATTTTTTTCATAAAGTATATGTTTTCAATAAAATTATTATTCTTCCTCTTTAATATAATTTTAAAAAATATATAATATATATTATTATTTTTATCTCGTATTAATTATATTAATTTTAAACATATTTTATTATATTTTTATTTTATTTTAATAATTATTTATAATACGCTTTTATATATTTTATATTTATAGTTTTTATTATAACTAGTCTAGTTAATCTAGTTAATCTCATTGAATCTTTAAATCTTTAAATCTTTTAATTCATAAATTCATATCCTAATTGCATACTTTAGTTTTTATATCATGGCATTAAATAAGATTTAAAAGGAATTACAACTATAAATGTAGCGTGCCTACTGATGAGCCAATAAATGGTATTCTTTTTCTTCAATTTTATTTGACAATTGTTCACAATTTATAAGTCGAATTATAGATTTTGTCTGTTTTTTATAATTTAAAAATAATCAAATGAATATAAATTATTTATTTATTATTTTTATATTTTTATCTTTTCCTTTTCTTAATAATCAAAAGATCATTGAGATTTTTATATAAAATATGTCATTAAGTAATTCAATAAATATATTTATTTTCAAATATCTTTTGAGCCAACTCATTCCTTCTTACTCATATTCAACTTCTTTAACACATAAGGATTAAAAAATAATTTATTTTATAATAATTAAACTATCATATATTTTAAATGTATCATTGTTATTGATGTTTTTTTCTCCCTCTTTTAATTTTTCTGTCTTTAAACATGTCATTTTAATTGTTTATTAATAGAATTTCTCTCTGTTAATTGAGAGAATTTTAGTATAAAAATAATTAAATATAAGCGATATTATGAATTAAATATTAAAAATTAAATAAACTTTACTTCTAATTTAAGTATTATACATAAGAAAAAAAAACAAGTTCGTTAGTGTCAAGTAAATAAACATGATGACATCATATTCTTATGTCGGGTAGCTTAATTGTCATTAAAAAAAACATTGAAATTAATATTAAATTTTAATAACAAAACGAAATTAATTATTTAGTATTATCAATTAAATTATTATTTTCAATTTTAATGAATCGTTAAATTAAATATTTTAAAAATGAATTCGAAAAACTATTTTGCATTTTAATATATATATATATATATATATATATATATATATATATTAAACAACTATAATTATACATGACATGTCTTAAGAAAATTTATTTCAAAAGTAATTTTAGTAGAGTAATATAAATTTTTATATAAATTAAAAAAGTTATAAAAAAAATTTAAAAAAAGGATTTAAAAAATAAGTTCTGCATAAATCAATTCTTACCTTTAAATAAATTCATTTTATTTTATTTTCTTTTAAATTTATAAAATATGTTTATTAAACTAACCTATAACAAAAGATAATTCATAAGTGTTTAAATGAAGTTTATCTAAATAAACCCGTAATAAAATTCAAGAATAATTTTTCGTATAATAGCTAATATAATGGCAATGAGGTCAAGCTATGATAATACTAATGGAGATAAAATACATATTAATCTTTAAATAAATGCCCAAGGGTTGCTAACTTTATGGAAAATAGTAAGCAATCGTTATCGAGAAAAATTCTCCCTTAAACAACATGCAATCAGTTTCTTTCTTCTTTCTCTCTCAATTTTCTTTTTTAATATAATTTTTAAAAAAGAGTTATCAAATTTCAACGACACTGCTGGAGAAAAGAAAAAAAGAAAATTGAATCAAAGACCGTCGTCTATTCCAGTCCGTGTTACACAAAAGCCACGGTCAAGATCTTAAATCTGACGCAGCAATTGCATCCGCTGCCAGCGGCACACGTTAGTCAGATATCTCTTACTCTGCGCCGCATTGGCTCGATTCGCTGGCATTTCAGCAGACGCGTGACGCGCTTAGCAGAACGCGTATGATCCATCTCGTCCTCTTCAAACATTTCCACGTTGGACTGCGCTACTTAAACAAAAGTGAATCGTCATTGATCACAAGTGGCTCGGTAGAAATAGTAAAATTTTCAAAGCAAAGCAAAACGAGCTTTACCCAATTATCTTCCCGTTGAATTTTCCACCCCCAGTCTTCAAAATCACATCTTCTCGATCTTCACTTTCTTTGTCGCTTTTGATTTTACCATGGAATCGAAAAACCCTGCGAGATTTACGCTGGGGAAGCAGTCGTCGCTTGCCCCAGAACGCCATAATGAAGGAGAAGAGCCTCAAAACGATGGAGATGCTGTTGATCAAGGTGTGAGGTTAATGTATTCGGCCTTCGAAGGCGATGTGGACGGTATTCGTGAGGTGTTGGAGGCTGGTGTGAGTGTGAATTACAGGGATATTGATGATCGCACTGCTCTTCATGTCGCATCGTGTGAGGGCTTCACTGATGCCGTTGATTTGTTGCTCCAAAAGGGTGCTGAAGTTGACGCTAAAGATCGATGGGGGAGCACGGTAAGTTCAGTTTTTTTCTTTTAATTCTTGATTTGGCATAGTGCCACAGGTGATTGTGCTTTGATGTTTGAAATGGTTTGGTGGTCTTGCTATTTCCGCGTTTTGGTGTGACAAAGATGATAGCATTAGAAAAGGTCTAAGGTTTGGCTTAAGCGTTCAGAGTCGTTGTATCTGGATTTAGTGTTGTTTGACTGGTCAAATGATGTATCGTGTAGGATGGATTCACTCTGAGCAATGTAATGCCTCAAAAAATAATTGCATGAAGTAGATTGCAGATTAAGTTAGAGGCATTTTGTCTCGAAGACGATTATTGTTGCAGTTTGCGCGGGCGGTTGATTAATTGTTTAGGCGTGAGTTTCTTGGAGCAAGTTTAAGATAGCTTCTCCTCTTTTGTCAAAAGGAGATTGATGCCTTGATCTTACATTCGGTTACCACCACCACTTATTCTGAAGGTTATTAGAAACTTACTATTCACGCTTCAGGATTTAAATCCTACTATTCCATACAATTTGATACTTTTTGATTCGTATCATAAAATGAATCACAAATGACTTTGAATCTCACCATACACGAAAGAGTTGGTGCAATTTTACATCATGGGTATGAATAACAGAATTCAACCATTTATTATTGTTATTATTATTATTATTATTTTTTTTTTTTAATTTCTTCCACCAATTCTCACGAAAGAAACGGAAAAGCCATATAAACTTAAATTGTTAATTGAAAAAAAATTGAAGGAATATTTTTGAACTTATCCTATTTGATTATTTCACCATTTTATTTATCAATCTCTTAGTCAATGCATGCACTCTATTTGACTATTTAAGCACTTAATTTCCATTCTTATAAAATAAAGGTATCATGAACTCTGATATGACTAATAATTTTGTTTTGAGACTTATGGTTAAGTTGTTTTATCTATTTCTAGTTTAAAATTATGATTCACAATAAAAAAATTAGCTTGGTGATTATTAATGTGTATTTGATGACCTTGTTTCTGAACATAAAGTGGAGCAGACGGTTTGCACTATCTGTTGGCGGTGCTTTTGTCTGAATTTTGAAAGAAGATACTTCTGTTGCACGTTGACTAGCACTTGCCTGCATGAAAGAATTGTATAATGGGAGTAAACATCAAGAGAATATAAGAAAATAGGGTTGATGTTGTGCTGCAGAGTGTATTAGGTTTCTAATTACTTTCCGCTTGAAGTATTGAACTATTAATCTTGTTCGTGCTTATCCTTAATTTAATTCCCAATGAAGTGGTAAGAAGATTCAACTATATTCTTCTTCTAAACGTCTTTTAATAATCTTGTCTTGTGCTCCTTCTTTTCCTCTTTATTAAGGAACACAAAAGTAATTATCTCATTACTTGATTAAAGTACTAAGGGGAGCTCATATATATAGAGTTTTACCAAAATGATAAAAGACAAGATACAATTATATCATAAAAGGATAAAAAACAGAATATAAGCCTATTGATAATAACTAACTAATTATCTCTATACTCTTCTCCGTATTCTGTAATGACTGTTACAGGGTCTTCTGTATGGACTTCCTTTGAAAATAAAATACAACTGTTAGATATGTAATTCTGGGACTGATTGTATCTCTTAAACAGCCACTTGCAGATGCTATTTTTTATAAAAAAAATGACGTGATCAAACTATTGGAGAAGCATGGAGCAAAGCCTCTGGTATGTGTGTATTTAGGATTGCAAATTATCAGTATTTATTTGTTTTCCCATATCAGTTTTAGATTTTGTATTCAGCTTCTGATTGTGATTGTGAATATATGTTGGGATTATACTGTTTCAGATGGCCCCTATGCATGTTAATCATGCACGTGAAGTCCCAGAGTATGAAATCAATTCTAAAGAGCTCGATTTTACCAACAGTGTGGAGATAACTAAGGTAAGAGCTTTGTTATGATTTATTATTATTTTTATTAGTGTTGTCATTGTTTACTGTCAATTTGGTTTGTTTAAAGATTATTTTATTTCATAAACCTTGAGTATTTAATAAGAAATTCTATTATAAGTGGATTTAAAATACCATACATCAAAATGACTTGTTTGGATATCAAATCCATAGATTTTTAAGATAATGGGAATTTTATAAGAAGTTTTTCTACAAGTAAAATTAGGGAATTTCAAATAACTCATAAAGAAGGAATTTCAAATAGCTGAATATGATGGAAGCTAAATTACTTTATCAAACCAAAGAGTTTGAATGTTCAAACAAAGCATTTTAAAAATGAAAGCAATATAATAGAAGTAATTAAATTTCTGCGCATTTCGAAATTTCCTGAAATTTTGAAATCCTTTATCTAAATGCCACCTTATCATCCATCATTAGATTTATAACACAAACTTCTAAAATTTGTTGTTCTTTTGCCGCACTTTTCAATATTTATACAGAGTTCTAGTTGATGATTTTGTAAGTTTTATTCAATAGCTATAAGCGAGGGCTGTGCTAAACGGTATTGAATTGAAATCAGCTAATCTATCATCTAATGTTTCCTCCATTTGCAGGGGACTTTCTGTAGTGCATTGTGGCGTGGAACAGAGGTTGCAGTAAAAAAGCTTGGGGAGGAGGTAATTAATGACGAGGAGAAAGTGTGAGTTTCTCTCACAAACCTTGTGCAAATATTGTTACATTTTGTTATATAGTTTCATGATAATTAATTTACTTGATCTTTCACAGGAAGGCTTTCAGAGATGAGCTTGCTCTGTTCCAGAAGATCCGGCATCCAAATGTCATTCAATTTCTGGGTGCCGTGACTCAGAGCAGTCCAATGATGATCGTGACAGAATATCTTCCCAAGGTTTTTTGCCCTACAACTGCATGGAATGTTTGTTGAAGTTTAACAGTAATGTGACCAATTGTTCCTTTCTTGATCTTGTTTGCCACGTCGTGCAGGGAGATCTTCGTGATTTCTTGAAAAGAAAAGGAGCTTTAAAACCATCAACAGCTGTGAGATTTGCACTTGATATTGCTAGGTATTTGACGACACAATGCATTGATTTTATTTGGGTTCTTCTGTTTGCAAGATCGAGGCTCACAATCAGCTCGCTTTCTTTCGCTATACTAGGGGGGTTATTTTAAATTTTTGTGATTTTATTTTGATTGGAGCTTTTAAGTTGTTATTAGTTATGAACAAGATGAAAAGAGCGCAGAAGCTATAGGAAATTTTCATCAATATTTTATACTTAAGATTAAGTTATCCCCTGTTTTCCTTGTTGCATATGATTGCATGAGAAACTGACTTTGGTGAAAATATTTAATTTTAAATTATGGGGTACACAGTATGGATGTAAGAAACGTAGAATTATAAAGATACGTGGGGTTGGAATATTAGTGTGCCAAAGTTGTACTTTTTAGTAGTTCTTATAGTGGACTAGTTGTTAGCTACCGTTTTTCTATTAATCACCCGCTTCAATTTTTAGAGCACTATGTTCATTTTTCTTGGCCACACTTTACATAGTTGCTCTCAAGCCTTGATAAAAGTGGAAGGTCGTGTGTGGCAATTGTGGAAAACTTTTTGAACCTTTTATGGCATAGATCAATGAGACATACATTCACACTTGGTTACATGTGGCTTGATTGTTCTGTTATGATTACCGTTGATCTATATGTCAGGATCTTGCCTATTTATGTATCATGTCATGGAGTGAACTTTGGTTCAAAGTGATCAATGTTTGATCGAGTTCTGTCTTGGCATTTTTATATTCACATTTGAAATTCATAGAACAGGAAAATTCCCTTGTTGATATTGAGGTTGTGTATTCTTGGCTAAATGTGGGTTGAATTCAGTTTTGGTATCAGGAACTGGTTGTTTGGGTGCTACTTTGCCAGTGTTCAGTTGCGGTGTTTAATTCCATTTGAGTTGGGGGTAAGATCTGATCTGATATTTGGCTGATCACTTGAATGGGATTTTAGATCTCTTGCAATTCACTTGTATTCATCTGACTGTCATCCGCTCATCCTTTGAGTTTGATGAAGATTGAGGGGGAAATGGTGGGATTGGTAATGATAGCTAATAAAGGAGAAAGTGTGCTTAGGAGATTAGAAAAGACTTCAGATTCCTTGTCCTAGTGGCTAGCATTTCCAATGTAGGAGAAAAAGAGAAGAATTTGTCCGAGAAACTAGAAAGTAACAAACCGAAGAAAAAATTAACTCAAGGTGTATAATTTTTGTCATATAGTAAATAAATAAATTAATATATGGATTGCCCATTGAAGTCCAAGCTTCATTGGGTTATGTAATGATCTAATCCATTTGTCCAGTAACATAAGTGCATAAATATAGATAGAGAGCAAAATCGAACTGGATCTAGGTGGTTCAATGGTTTCGGCTCACAAATTCTCAGTTCTTTCTATATGACACACAAAGACAGTTAGTTATTTATTTGATGAGAAGGTATTCAATGTATTTTTGAAAGACACCTCATTCATACATAATTCTCTTAAACTTGAGCTGTTTTGTTATATAAATTTTCCACTTGTTAGATATCATTCATGGAATTTTGTTTTAGGAGTTTCATGACTGTAACATTTCTCATGGATCATTCTTGCTGGAGAGAAATCTGTGACATTTTAAACACAAGTTCTCCAAATCCATTTAATGTCAGTTATATTTAGATGAGACATCTGTTTGGTTCTGATTAATGAAGACTGACGTCACTGCTTCTTTCTTTTTTGTCTTTTGGTCTATTAATTGTCACCAAACACCTTTTTTTATTTGAAATTATGCAGGGGAGTGGGTTATTTGCATGAAAATAAACCATCACCCATTATTCACCGTGATCTTGAACCTTCGTAAGTTTTTTTCTTTGTTCAATTATTGTTTTTTCCTCAATTATATATTCTTTTATGCGATGTCCGTGTGTCTGATTTAATAGTCTGATACAGTCTACACTTTCTTATCAATGTTGCTTATGAGTAAGCTAACAGTAATATATTGCGGGATGATTCTGGGCACCTAAAAGTTGCAGACTTTGGGGTTAGCAAGTTGCTGGCAGTTAAAGAAGACAGGCCTCTAACTTGCCAAGAAACTTCCTGTGGGTGCTGTTTTTCTTCACATTTGTCATTAATGCTTGATATATTGAAATATTTGAAATGCTGTGTTCTCTTATTCATGGGGCATATGAGAATATTGTCATTCTTGTGACATTTTCCATGTCCTGGACTTTAACATTAGGATTCATGATTTTGCTCATAGGCCGCTATGTGGCTCCCGAAGTTTTCAAACAAGAAGAATATGGCACTAAAGTGGATGTATTTTCATTTGCACTAATTCTACAAGAGGTAACTATTTTTAATGTTTCATCTAATAAGAAGCTAATAAAAGCTACAGATAATAAAATATTTATAGAAATATTGTCGTTGTTATTGTTGCTTTGTATCCATATGCTGTATGAGACCTTTCTTGGCTAGCAGTTGAATTGATCTCATGGTTCATAGTAAACCATGTTCCCAAGTGACATTTAGACTACATTTTTTCCTTGAAAATCAACTATGTAGAATTTTGATATCCTTCTTTTTAACTTGACTATTTGCTTCTTCTTTCCCTTCAAAACCCATTATTTCCAACAATGTATAGTATGTTTTTCTGCTATTGAGTTTCCACCAATATTTATTTGGTTTGATGGAATTATTGTAGCTTTTACTTGCTGCAGTCATTATTGATGTTTCTTATGTGCAATCTTTTAGATGATTGAAGGCTGCCCTCCTTTTTCTGCAAAGAAAGAAGACGAAGTTCCTAAGGTATATGCTGCCAAAGAGCGTCCACCTTTTCGAGCTCCAGCCAAGCGTTACTCCCATGGAATTAGAGAGTAAGTCATCTATGTCTCTTGGATTTTCCTGTTCAGTGATATAATTTTCTAGAGAAAAAGATAAAAGGATGTTAAATTATTCCTTCATCTTAACATGCAACATACAATCTTTTTGTTAATATGCTTTCTAACTTGGTATTCACTTTTCCCGATTAAATTATTTTCTCATTTTATCATATAACTTACAATCTTTTTACTAATAAGCATAAACTATAAATATTTGGATTTTGACATTTTTAACAATGTTTATGTTTGTAAAACCTGTTCTTATTATGCTATGTTTGGTAAAAATAGTTGATAAGTTAGTTGAAAGTTGAGAAGTTACTCTTTTTCTAAAATTCGGAAGCTATGTATTAAGTTAGATCATAGAATTAAAAGTACTTGACTAACATTAGCTATTCAACTATTTATCAATGTAAAATCACATCAAAGGACATGTTTAAATATATTTTTATGTAAATTCTATTTTTATTAAAGAAAGCACAAAATGAGGAGTTTCAATAAATATTGAGGATAAAAATGGAATAATAGCAAGTTATAAGCTCAAATGTTATTTTAAGTAAAAATAAAAAACAATAACTTTATCTGGTTACAACTTGTGGGATGAAGTCACAACACATGCATTACATGATTTAGTCAAAAATCAAATTCTGTGATATTATTCATCGTGAGTGCTTTTTAATAATTTCCTTAAGTATCTTGGCCTCTTTCTACCCATTTTTATGGGACTAAAAACTGTGTAATCTACTCTTTTCACCGAATGTGGTTATTAGGCTATTGCATTCATGAGTCATTGTGCCATGTTTTATCGGTAGTTATGATTGAACATAATATCTTTGCCAATGCTTTCTTTCATTGTTTAATATTATGCTGATCTCTCTAATGGTTTATGCTTATAGATTAATTGAGGAGTGCTGGAATGAGAATCCTGCTAAGAGACCAGCATTTAGGCAAATAATAACAAGGCTGGAGTCCATCTACAGCATAATTGGTCAAAAAAGACGTTGGAAGGTTATCCTCTCTCTTACATAACATTCCCCTCTCCCCTGCATCAGATATTTGTGCTTACATACGCTTGTTCAAAACTGTGTACAATTCATATTTCATATTTTACTAATTGAAGTCATTATCTGTCACATGACTAATATTACCACTTCCTCCTAGTTCAATGATTTTACTATTTTAATGGAGTGTCCCATCCAACTAAATTTGATTTTAGTTGTGTGCAAATATAAGCAATTGGTTTACAAATTTAGAGGTGGCACTATATTTCATTTAGTTGAACAGATTTGAGTGCTTATGGAACATGTGGAGGAATTGTAACAGTGACACTGTTGTAACATGCAGGTTAAGCCATTGAAATGCTTCCAAAATCTGGAAGCCTTGTTGAAGAGAGATCATGCAGATGGAAGTAGTCGCGGTTCATCTCGCTCCACATCCAGCAGAATATGAAGAACATTGGTCGTCTCCTGTAACTTATTGGCGTAAAGATGAAGAACAACAAGCAAATTTAATTTCTTGAGTTGGAGCTCGCAACTTTTTACTGTCTGTGTTTTTCAAGATGCTTTATGCTTCACCATTATTTCTTTCCAATAACATTATGTCTGCCATATATAGAATTGTATGTAACATAAACACATATTCTAGGAACTTGCTCCTTGTCATCTAATATTACGTGTATTAACAATGTACATTAATATTAAACAACAGAATTAAGTGTTTGTGTATGTTTGAGGTTGAGGAACCTGGGTGTTCATGATAATTGTTTTTAACTCCACAATAAATGCAAAGCTATACTGAATTGTGGTAGTTTTTTCACGTTATATAAGTTTTTGTTCTAGCTGTAGAACCGAACACGGAATAAGATGATAAATAAATACTTCTTTTGGTCCTTGTTTTTATAATAAGTGATTAGTGACGAATCTTAATCATTGATATAGAAGAGTTAAATAATATATTATTAATAAATAAATATAAAAGGAAGAAAAAATAAAAGGGTAAAAGATAAAATTGTAGATATATATTTAAATGTAAGTTTGAGGGGACAAAATCATAAATTATACGAAAGTTATAAAGCTGAGAAGGATCGAGAATATAAAATTATAAATATACAAGTAAATATATTAAATGTTCATTAAGTTTGGAGGATCAAAATTATAAATTACATGGGAGTTATAAAACTTTGGAGAGGTCATGACCCCTCGACTTCCAAGAAGATCAGCATGTAAGTGATAGTATTAAAAATATCATTAGTTATTTATTTATTTATAAGAAAGGACCAAAAGAAGTAAGAACAAGTATGTATTCATGGAGAATGTTGAATATAGAGGAAATATTGGTAGTGTGAAAGTGCATGTCTAGGAAGGTTTTGACAAAGAAAGACTTGGTATTTAAGCGTGTCTATTAGTGATTCACCTCTCTTTCCTGGGAACTTACTTGATGTACTGGTTCATGCCGCCATCACTGCCTTCGCTGCTGCCGCCGGAGTTTCATTTTTGATCGGTAACATACAATGTTGAATATAGAGGAAATAAGATTTGAGATTAATCTCCCTTGTGTATAAATCTCACATAAGGTAATCTATTTATAATAGAAAAAGATACAACAACTAAAAGAGTAATTGAAAGTAAATAGAATAAACAGAATATATTGTTTAATATTGTGGTTAACAATATCTTAACAATATCAACCAATATCTAAACAATATCTAACCCTCCTCCTCAAGTTGGAGCATACAAATCATATGTGTCAAGCTTGTTACAAATATAATCAATTCTAGGCTCCCGTAAAAACTTAATGAAAATATCTGCTAACTAATCACTTGAGTTAACAAACTCAGTCTTGATGTCTCCAAACATAATATTTTCTCGAATGAAATGACAGTCAATCTCAATGTGTTTGGTCCTCTCATGAAAGACAAGATTAAAACTAATATGAAAAGCAGTCTGATTGTCACACACAAGTGTCATTTGAGTGACATCTCCAAATTGTAACTCTCTAAGCAATTGCTTGAGCCAAACAAGTTCACAGGTAGCTGATGCCATAACTCTATTTTGCTTCTGCACTGGATCTTGCCACAACACTTTGTTTCTTACTTTTCCATAAAATCAAGTTACCACCAATGGAGACACAATATCCAGATGTAGATCTTCTATCCGAAGGAGATCCTGCCCAATCAGCATCTGAGTAGCAAACAACTCTTGTATGGCTATTATAGTCATATAACAATCCTTTTCCAGAAGATCCTTTAATATACTTCAAGATACGAATGACTGCATTCCAATGATCTTCACATGGTAAATTAAGAAATTGGCTTACCACACTGATTGCAAAGGAAATGTCAGGACGAGTAACTGTAAGATAATTCAATTTTTCAACCAATCTTCTATATTGCTTAGGATCAGATATAGGCTCCTCCTGATTTGGTAGAAGTTTAGTATTGGGATTCATAGGTGTATCAACAGACTTTGAACTTATCAACCTAGTTTCCTCCAAAATATTTATGGCATACTTCCTCTGAGATATAACTATACCATCATTGGATTGTGCCACCTCAATACCCAAGAAATATATAAGTTTGTCAAGATCTTTGGTCTGAAAATGGTGACAGAGATGTTGTTTCAATTGATGGATGCCATAGTTGTCACTACCTATAAGAACGATATCATCAACATATACTATCAAGTAAACACATTCAGCACACGAGTGTTGATAAAAGACAGAATAATCTGTTTCACACCGAGTCATACCAAATTGTTGAACAACCTTGCTAAACTTTCCAAACCAGATCCTAGGAGACTATTTTAGGCCATATAAGGATTTGCGAAAACGACATACCATCCTAGAAGACTCCCCTTGAGTAACAAACCCAGAAGGTTGCTCCATATAAATTTCTTCTTGCAAATCACCATTGAGGAAAACATTTTTAACATTCAGTTGATAAAGAGGTCATTGTTGAATAGCGATCATGACGATAAATAAACGAACAAAAGTCATCTTTGCCACGTGGGAAAAGATATCTCCATAATCCAACCCAAAAATTTGAGTATAACCTTTGACCACAAGACGAGTTTTAAGACGATCAATACTACCATCAGGTCCAATTTTGATAACAAACACCCACCTGCAACCAACAACAGATTTTCCAGATGGTAACGGGATCAATTTCCAAGTTCCACTATTATGAAAAACACTTAGTTCATCTAACATGGCCTGACGTCAACCAGGATGAGCTAAAACTTAACGGGCAGTTTTTGGAATGGTCACAGAAGAAATAGAGAAAAAACATGTATAAAAAGTTAATGACAGTCGATGATAACTCAAAACAATATAATGGGGAGAAGGATTACGTGTAGAACGGATACCTTTTCGGAGGACAATGGGAAGGTCAGACTCAGGTGTCAGATCCAGAGGAGACAGTGATGTGAACATGACCTATGATAAGGGCTACAGCAAGAGAAGCAAACAAAGCTCTTCAACAAGTATTGTTGGTTGACCAAATTGTGTTTTGGATTAATCAATTATTGGACTTTAGTTTAGTTTTATTGCAAGTTGTAATAAGGGTCCAATTGGAAATTTAGTTATCAGTCTTTGGGAGACCAAGAGGGTGCATAGCTGATTGACTTTTGGATGCCACAATTTCGAGTTACAATCAATCATTAAGTAGTTTTCAATTCTTAGGTTAATAAATCATTATTAACATTTATTTTTCTTTAATGAATATTTGAAACTCTGATGACAAAGCTTCTTTATAAGCTGAACCATTTTTATCAGAAATAACAAGTTGAGTTTTATTTTTAGAAATATTAAAGTTTATCTCTTTTATCTTAGTGAGAGTGATTCTCCTAAGTTCTTGAGTGATTCAAGAACCTTTGGCTGTATCAAAGGACTTTCACATCCTTTGTGTGTTGCCTTCCTTGGAAAGAGTGATTCTTTCCTTCCACCTTCTTTCTAATTCCTAAATTTCTTATAAGGTTCTAACCTTAAAGATCCTAAATTACCCCTTGTAATTCATATCAGACAGAGTAGTTGACACTTGAGTGAAGTCATATGGTGGTGGTTGTGATTGGTTTCGGTAACTATAAACCTGAAGAGGCGGTGGAGAAGAAACTGACTGTGGAACATGCGGAGCAGGAACTAATGGTGAAGAAGACACAGTTAGAGGGTCACAAACAACAAGAACATTAAATGTACTAGGAGTGTTGATAGGATTGGATGGAGATAAAAGTGAAAATTGACTTTTAAAATAAAGAGAGAACTCATCAAATGTGACATATACAGACACAAAATAATGATTAAGAGAAGGAGAAAAACATTTATATCCTTTTTGTGATCTTGTAAACCTTAAGAAAACACATTTATCTGATCTAGGAGAAAACTTGTCAAGACCAGAACTGAAATTATAAACAAAACATGTAAACTCGAAAACTCTTAGAGGTAAGGGATGAAGTGGTTCATGAGGAAACAAAATGGAATGGGGTATTTTATTATCTAAAACCGAAGAAGGCATGCGATTAACGAGATAACATACAGTAAGAATAATATCACCTCAAAAATGTTGAGGAACCTCTCCATGAATTAAAAGAGTGCGAGTTATTTCAATAAGATGTTTATTTTTACGTTCAACTACACCATTTTGTTGAGGTGTATAAGTACAAGAAGTTTGATGCAAAATACCGTGAGAAACCATGAATTGTTTAAAAATTTGAGAAAGATATTCACGGCTATTATCACTACGCAAAACTCTAATAGAAATACCGAACTGTGTTTGAATTTCATTAAGAAAAGTTTGAAAGATATGAAATAATTCAGAACGATTTTTCATCAAAAATAACCAAATGCATCTAGAATAATCATCAATGAAAGTAACAAAGTATTGAAAACCTAAAGTAGACTTAACGCGACTAGGTCCCCAAATGTCAGAGTGAACCACGACAAAAGGGGACGAAGCACCACGTGTGACACTACGAGGAAAGGAAGTACGATTATGTTTGCCTAATTGACATGACTCACACGCCAAACTAGACAATTTGGACAAGGCAGGGACAAACTTCTGTAACTTGACAGGACTTGGATGACCTAACTGAGTATGAAGAAGAGAGGGAGACTCCATAACTGCACCTACGGAGATGATAAAGACCATGAGACTCACATCCTGTGTCAATCACCTGTTTTGAACTTCGGTCTTGTAAACACACAAAATTGTTAGTAAAAGAAACAACACAATCAAGAGAACGAGTTAAACGACTAATGGACACTAGGTTAAAAGGAGACTCAGGGACATAAAGAACATTATCAATAGTTAAAGAAGGTAAAAGTTTAGCAGTTCCAACATTATGAGATGATACTCTAGAGTCATTAGCCAGTGTAACAGAAAGTAAATGATTAGGAAAGGATAAAGAGGAGATCAAAGATTTGTTACCAGTAATATGATCAGTGGCTCCTGAATAAAA